TTTAAATATTACATTTTTCTCCATAAGGGAGAACAGCAATACCCTCTGTTGAGCGATTGTGTTTCAAACCAGTAGAGGGCATTGGCATACACAGAGACTAAATAGGTTTGTTACAGGAGCTTGGAAAATCATCTGTTATTTATAAAAATGAAACAATAGTACACTTCAAATACAGTGTACAAAGTAACAAAACTGGCCCTTCAAAGTTAAATCAACACCAAAATAAAACGATTGAGATGCTTATAAGACTTTCCAATGATATAGACCTTTATTGCAGTACAAATACAAAACTAATTAATTTTATCTAATATCCTTGAAAAGTAGTTAAAATAGTGTTGTTTGTTCCACAAACTAAACCAAGGAGAGGTTAAGTAGCGTGCCCCAGCTCCATATCTGAGTGCCACATGAGCCGTAAGGCTCCCTCTTGTACTTCTAAACAACATCCATTAATACACAAAGCAAAATTCTTTGAGAGGTTAAGAAAACTGCTTTCTGACTCTTTTTGTGTAAAAGAAGTCAGGTGCCACTCCATTTGGTGATATGGTAGAAGGGTGTTTCTCTTCTATTCCAGAGAAATGCATCCAAGATCCCAACCCAGCATAAAGATTTTGTTTTCAATACAACAAAATCAGGATTAATATATGTGGATCAATTAACTTTGTCCAATACTAGGTGAAAACCCTCACATTGTAGTGAATTACATGACTTCAGGTTCCATAAAACATATCCTGCACTCAAAATAACGAATGCAGCCACAGAGGGGTCAGGTCAGAAAACACAACAGTCCCCATGGCCCAAGGGAACCCCAAAGGAATGAAAAAATGCTTTGGCACAACAGAAGTGAACTTCACACCCTCACTGCCTGCCCTGGATGGGACCCAGTCGAGTCAGGGTAAGGTTGCTATGGGTACATCTCCAACTGCTCGCTGATGCTTTTGCCTTCTGCAAAAAAATTATTCCAGAGAACCCAGATCATCAGCACCTTGAAGTGCTTACACTTTCTTGTAAGGCCTACACTGCAAGATTAATTTGAGCAATTCTTATTTGCTGCTTGGCTTGACTCTCTGAAATCCAGTGCAGACTCTGTTGATGCCCTGGAGTCCAAATGGGCTCAAAACCTATTTTATGCTCACAATAGACAAGGGTGATGAGAACTCTTCCTCCTCTGAGGCACTGAAGTTGAAAATACCTTGTTCGTTCCTCACAGGACTCTTGTGGCAAGAATGGGAACTGAGTACAGATCTTCCAAGCTTCAATCTGGAATTTTGAACAGGTCTTACTTCCTCCCTGAATGCCCACTTGTGTGTTAGTGCTTTAGAAATGCCTTTTTTAAAGAGTAGACAAAGCAACTTGTTCATGGGCTGCTGATGCTTAAAACCACAGACGTTTCTTTCTGATTCTGTGGTCAGAATTTTCATCAAAATGCAAACCTCAGAGGAGCAAGGACATTGTAAATGGTGCCATGAAAATATTCTCATTAAAGCTCAGGGCTTGATGCTACATTAATCAGTTTTGTACTTGTCTATAATAAGAAAATTTAGAAATATCTGGGCAGACTTGCTTAGATCTTATATAGCAGAGTATGTGGGGAAAAAAGCTGCCTGTAAACCTTTTAACTGACTTTAAATGTTCATTTGACTATAAATATTTCAAAGGATTGATAAAAATTATATTTTAAGTTAGCATCAAATTAAAAGTTTAGGAAAGAAAACTCAGAGGCTATTTTATTGTCTTTACATCTCTCTTTAAAATCATACTAATTTTCCTTTCCAACACTACTTTATTGTATTAAAATATAACCATGCTAGAAAAATTTCTCATTATGTTAGCAAAAATGAATACAAGGTAGATAGTATACTAACACAATGACTGTAATCTGCTAATACAATAAGGCCTTCCTATTATGTTTAAAGAAGAGTCCAGTTCTTGATCATTTTGACATAGTTTGAAAACAGTGTTTCAAAAGGATAGAATGTGGAATATTTCACTGCTTAAGAAAAACTTTATGTCTTCATTTACTGCTAAAAAACCAGATAATAATGCCAATTTTTTGTTGGAGTAGATTTCATTTCTGCACTAGGAAATTGAGTATATTTTGTGGAAATAGGTATGTACAGCAGTATTTGTGATTAGCTAAACATGTTTTCAAACCTATATCCAAGGAACTAGTTCAGGCCTTCAGTGTGTTCTACAGCTGGCCTGAAAATGTGAATTGCACTGTGAGAACTTGCCATGGGGACCTGGCACACACACAGCCAGCAGCTTTTCTGGGATCTGACAGCTCTCACCACTTCTGTGACTGGTACTCACTAAGAGAGTTTCCAAAAGAACCCAGAATACATCTGACAAAGTACACTATCAGAACTGGAACTCATGGTAGTGCCTGTAAATATCCCACAGCAGGTAAAGGAAGAGATAAAGATGGATAAAGAAAAAATTGCCAAGAACCTGACAAATCACAGAGATCCTGGAAGATTCAAATTAAACTTGTTGTTACATTTAATTGCAGTAGTCCTTCCTTCTAAAGTTCAAGTCATTTTTAATAACAGCATCAGAAATATCTAAGCTGTAATTACTGTGGTGTGCCAGTTTGATGTTCCACAGGAATCTCAAAGGCATGACTTGTTTCATTCATGAGAGTCATTGCTTGGCAAGTCTCCAGGACAGGAATTCAAGTGAGAAAGGAAATTAGATCAGTTGACCAAAAGGAAATAAATCAGATTATTTGAATATTTGCTCAATGGGGAACAGAAAATTGCCATCAGAAGAAGTCGACACTGAATCAAGAGTTGGCCACAATAGCAGCCCTCACAAATTTGATGTAGGGACATCAGGGCTGGTCACAAGGTTGTGCTGCCTTCTATTTTCTTCTGCAGATAAAAAGACTTTACACATTATTTCAACACAAAAACCCAGCAGTAAGTTGCAAATTCTGATAAGTAGCCAGCAAACTCTTTTGTAGTTTCATCAAGCACTTTGTGAATACAAACACTTCTGGACTGATGAAAGTCCAGCTGGAGCTCTTGCCACCATTTTTCCTATGGAAGAAACTGTGAGAAATAAGATTTTTTTTTTTTTTGTGGGAGGACTGGAGATTGCCCTGAAAATGTGGCTTTTAAAATGACAAGAACATTTAATTTGTAATTATAAAATGCAGTTAACGTGGATATTTGAGCACTTCATTTGTGTGCACCACCAGTGCCATTCTTGCTACAAATTACTAAAAAAGGAGCATGATGTTTGGATACAAATTGTGTAATGAAATTAAACTTGACTTCTGAAAATCTATCCCTACCAAACATATAAATTTACAGGTCATAAGGATGTCACACCCCTTTTAATTTTTTGAGTGTGTTCAAATTGGGTCACATTAAGAAAATATAATGCAGCCTAATGGTCTAACAACTCACTAGAACAAATGGCAATGAATATCCAGTATCAATACAGTTATTAATTACCAATTATCTGTGTACCAAATACAACCAATTATTCAATGTAAATAAAATAACTCTCTTAAAAATTGATTTCCCAGATGAGAGGAAAATCTAGTTAGCAAGCTGAGTGTGAAATTTACATGTAGTTCATGAAAAAGTGATTACTTACGGAATTAATTGATTTTAGAAATGAATCTGAGGATGCAAAATTATGGCATAAAAGGAAAACAATCTGAAGATCTGATTTATGTCCATGAGAAAGGCATTTAGTTTTTCCTTCCATGCACAGCCAATCCCAGAAGCTGGGATCAACCAAGAAATCCCTACTCATAGCCATATTCCCAATTATCCACCTTCATAACCCTTGTCCTTTTCTTGTTCCCCTCTTGTTTGTCCACAACTGGGTCATGTTGTGGTTTGGGGTCAGCAATTCCTTTCTCAAAAGTCTCATTATCATATTGAGGCAGAGTTTTCAACCTGTCATACTGTCACTCAAAAGTATGTCTTCTCACAGATTATTTGGAAGATGGGAAACCTCCTGTCTTTCAGACACATTTCAGTGCTGGGAATGTCAGCCTTGTCCCTTCATCTTTTCCTTGTGCCTCCCTTCCAGTTGCTCCTTCTATGCAAGATGTTCTTGCTGAGTCACATTCAGGCTGCTCCTAAGTACCTGTGTTGTCTGCCTCTCCGAGGAAAGCTGAAAGGACAAAGTAACAGAAATCTTAGAGATAAACAATTCCTTTGCTCTGCACAGAATTCACACTTTGGTGCTTTTCTCTTTACCACATTAATCCAAGGCACTACCAGGAACTTTGGAAGGATTTTTCAATTCTTGTACAGTATGACCCTCTTCATTCAGTCATTCAGCATAAACATTTTGGTTTGGCTTAACTACAAGGTTTACTGTTGGAAGAGACACCATATTCCTTTATTGCTTTATTCAAGGATTGCTGTACAACTTGATGGTTGTCCTTCTGAAAGAAGTTCAAGTCTGATGAGGAGGAGCTGAGGGAGTTGGGGGTGTTTAGTCTGGAGAAAAAATAGGTTTAAGGGGGACATTATTGCTCTCTGAGACACCCTGACAGGAGGCTGGAGCCACACTGGCAGCGGGCTCTGCTCCCAGGGAATAAGAGATTTGATCAATTGAGATTTAACTTGGACATTAGGAGCAATTTTTTCACTGAAAGGGTGACAACATTGGAATGGGCTGCCCAGTGAGGCGATGGAGCCACCAGCCCCGGAGGTGACGCCAGCAAAGACTGCATGTAGCACCCGGTGTCATGGTCTGGTGGACACAGTGGCGTTGGGTCGTAAGTTGGACTCGCTGATCTGGGAGGCCTTTTCCAACCCAAACGGTTCTGAGATTCCAAACAATTCGCCAGCACCAGCTGTGCCCAAGCCCCACCGCACCCCCCTCACAGCGCTCCCCTCACAGCCCCGCCCGCCATGGCCGCCCCGCCCCGGGACACCCGAGCCGCCCCGCCCCGCTGCCATGGCGACCGGCGCGCCCGCTGATTGGCTGCGCCGCCCCGCCCAATCCGCGCGCGGGGTGTTCCGGCGGTGCCAAGATGGCGGCCAGGTAAACACGGCCGCGGGCGGCGGCGCTGAGGGGGCTCCGCGGGCACCGGGGCACGGCGAGAGCCCGCTGCCTTCTCCTAGGCCGGCCTTGAGCCGCGTTTCTCTTCGGTTCCCCTCACTTCCCCGGCCTGTCGCCTCACCGCACCGGCTCTTCCGTGCCGGGGCCCGGGAAGGGGAGGCGGCTGTGGCGTCCCGGGAAGTTGCCCCTGTGGAGGCACGGGAGGCGTTTGCTGCAGTTTCGATCCTAAACTGAAAGGAGCTGTAAGCAAACGCAAGGGGCACAACTTTAATGGACAAGAAGTGGGGGGGAAAAGTGGTCTCAGCCTCTGTAATCAAGTTGTCTTCTTCTTTCTGAAATAGTAAGTATTTGGGCCTTTATAATGTGCTTGTCTAAAACATGGAATGATATTTATGTAGAAAAAGCAAAAATATTTCTGATGACGTGTTTTGCTGTGTCTGTTTCTCTCTTCTGCAGGTTGTTTTTGTGTTGGAATGGGTAACGTGGTGTCTTTACAGTGACTTGAAATAGTTTGGACTTTATATAAGCTGGAAGATGTGGAGTGGGCTGTTACCTCCAGGACTGAATGAAAGCGATGTTGATCTGAGTTCTGATGATGAGGACGAATCACCTGATTCCTGTTCAAAGCAAGAGGCAAAAGAAGATACTGAAAGAGTTCAGGGGACTGGAGAGGAAAGTAATGCCAGCAGTGAACCTCTTGTACCAGTAACAGATGAAGAAGGTGAATTTCAAACGTGCCCTCCTGGAGTTTCTGTAAATATCTGGAATGTATGTATCATTGCAGGTCTCCAAATGAGCATAATGCAGTCTACTCAAATGGTTGATTTTTAAATTAAAGTAATTATAGTAATTATAGTCAATATACAAATCTGAAATTGAATTATGAGTATTATGATATGAGCCTATTATGAGAAATTCAATCTGAGCGTACATACCTTAGACTGTTTAAAGCGAGGTGAACAGGAATTTAGGCAGGAAATGATTAGGTGGTAGTTTGCTGGTGATTGAGAGCACAGCAAGGAGTTGTCATAACTATACAGGTGCATAAAACTTGTGTTTTCAGTGGTTAATGGGCTCTGAGCTGCTTGGTAGGTGCTTTCTGCATTGGTAAGGATTTACAGCTCAGTGTTTCATACCTGGGAAGGGGAGGTGTGCCCTGCTCCTTGCTGTAGGATTAACTGCAAGCATTCAGACTGAAGAGTTCCTTAAAACCTCCTGATTTTGCAGTTGCATGTAAAGACTGGGAAAACCAAAAAACCCTTAATAAAACAATGTGTTTTAGGCTTTGGATTCAAAACAAGAACTGGCAAAAAATAATTGCCTTCTTTCACCCCTCAGTCCTTGTAGGTAGCCTTCTGTGCTGTCATTAATTTGTGGATTACAAACTACCAGCTAGGCAATAAAAATACATGGTATAGCTCAGGAGTGCACAACAAGCAAAAGTGAGTTCTGTGTCACATCCCATGAGAGGACTGTCAGATCTGAACAGTCCTGGGATGCAGGGAGGGCACAAAGTCAGAGAAAGGTCATGAAAGATTAGCACCATTTCCAGTTTAACACCACCACAGTCCTGTGGTCTCACTTTATAGATTGGGATGTAATAGATAACACAAGGCACTGTGGGTAATTATACATTTTTCTTTGTCATTTCTTAAAAATGGGGGGAAAATTACAAGTACTGACTTGGTTTTTCATAATCTTGTAGAGATTTGTGGAGCTTCAGAAGAAACACCGGGAAATGAAAATGCAAGTGAAAGAGGAAAACAGATGCCGGAAAAGAAAGCGCCGCCGAAAAGGTGGTTTTTTAATAATTAACAGAGTTTATTTTTTTCCAATTAAATCAGTAGCAATACATGCTGTTTTGAGGTTTTCTTTCTTGTGTTTTTTTTTTTTTTAATGAAGCATTGTATTCTAGCTGTTATCTAGAATTTTATTTTTCTGCTTGTATGCATTATTTGCAAGGTTGTAGCGAGGTTGTAGATAGATTGCTACATAGAATGCAAGTAATATATTTGTCCTCTTCTTAAAAGGGAGACAGAACTTACTGAATTAGTACTGATTTATAATGGTTAAGTGTATTTCAGTAGTTCTACAAGACTTTTGCACATTCTGGTTAAAGCTTCACAGATATTGCAGGAGTTTCTCACAGCTGAGTGGTTTAAATCCACATGATCATTGGGTAAAAAACCCCAGTGTGTTGATCTTTCAAAGGAAATGTGACCAATTAGAGCTCTGTTAACTTCATTGGATGCTGTGGGGTATCACTGTGTAATGTTGGATTTTTTTCTTTTTTTTTTTCCCCTTAGCAAAACAGAGAAAGACCGATGAAGTGGCTAAGAGGTATAACCAGGTCAATGGGATTACCTGAGGTCTGTTAGTAGGAGGCAAAACTTAGAATAAGCCTGACCACATTCATAGCCAAAGCCTAGCTTTGAGCATTGTGTAAATTATCTTTTAAATTTGCTCAATGTCTCTGTTGTGCAGGCTGAATTTGTACTGGTAATTGATTGATGGAGTGTTTTTGCTTGATTTCAAAAATCAACACAATTGTATCATTTAATGTAACTTTTAATAGACTTAATGCTCTTCCTACTTCCTTCATACAAGCCCCTGTTCAGCCTGCTCCTTCCCTTCTTTTTCCTTCTTGGCAGTGTTAGATTTATGGTTAGACTCAATCTTAAAGAACTTTTTCAACCTAAATGGTTCTATGATTCTATCAGTTTGCTTTCAAGATTGTGAAATTACACTTAGACAAAGGGGGAGCAGTAATTAATTTCACTTTTTAAAAAAAAATAAATGGGTGAAAAGACCATGTCTTCCAAATGGAAGAGTTTATTTTAGCTTTGAAAAGGATATTACAAGTTGTGGAAAGGGAAGTGGTTATAGTAATGACTTGTTTGTTTGTTTGTTTTTAGTAGTCAGCAGTTGGAAAATGAAGACAAATGGAAAGAACTTACACAATACTTTGGAATCAATGATAGATTTGAATCACCTGTGGACAGCAGGGCTCCACAAAAGGTGACTGTTAATACAAAGGCAGTATCAGCTTGTGTTTGGCAGTAAAAGAGCTTGTCCTTAACTCAGATAGGAATGAAGCTGAGGCTGTTTGAGGGTAAAGGATACAGTCACTCTGAGGAAGGATGATTTTGTGAGCTCTTTAAATAAATGTCCTTGAATGGTTGCTGTGCTCACTTTTAAGACATTATCCAAGCTTGTTTCCTGTCTGGTTTTATTTTCCCTGTTTTCCTGTTGTGAGAGACAGAACACTTCATATGCATTGCTTGACTTTTGTTTTGCTTCATTGTTTTTTAACTTCAAAATGTGTCACATTAATTCTTCAGATGGCACCAGTGGCTACAAGAATTAAAGGTGCAATCCTAGCTTACATTTTGACTGGATTCATAACACATTCTGTTCATAAATATTACTGTGTAACTAGTCATATCTGAAATAACTGGCACACACAATGGATAAGTTAAGAATCTCACTACATTGGGAGTTTCTGGTAGTGCTGTTGGCTCTATAATATTTCTTATGAAGTTCTCTGTAAGTTCTATTACATGAAATGTTCAGTTAGCTTCCTTTATGATAATTTTTGTATTTTTCATTTTCTTGAAGTGAATTTCTGCATGCAGGTCATGAAGATTTGTTTGCTTCTTACTTTTAGTGGCTATTTAGTTGTCATTGAAGTGGTCAGGATAGATCTGGAATGAGGCCCAAAGTGTTGAAGTGCAGATGTTTCATTGTAATTTCAGGGATATTATCACTAGTGGAAGATATGTCTTGCTATTTTCAGAAAAGGCATCTTGACAGAATTTGCCATCACTGCAACTTCCAATTGTGCATTTTTTTTTCATCTACCACCTGAAATAACTCAAGTGCCGTGTTTGCAGATCACTGTTTCTCAAGAATTCCATTAGCTTTTTCCTTTTTATCTCTTGAAAAGTCTATGTTATGGAACTGTCAAATGTGTTTCCTTTAGTTCACTAATATTTAAAATCAGTGAGGCTGTAAATTATCTTTTGTTATGAGAGTGAGGCTTTTTGTGACATTCTGAAGTCAGTGCCATCTTTTTGTACTCCATCAGAAATTTACAACTATAATTTTCAGGAGATAGTTACTTTTTATTGTTACATTTTTCAAGTGTTGCCATTAAACAAGTTAAGTTTACCTCTGAAAATAAGAAAACAACCCTTAAATCCTGAAGCTTTTTCATTGTTTTCCATAGGGCTGCTAGAATTTTTAATTTATTAGCACAGTGGAATGGCTTTGTGCCAGAACTCTGGTTTTGGGGTAAAGATAAGATCTTAGAACTGTAACGATACAGTGGTAATTGCCATTCTTCATGTTACCTGACACATATATTTCACATTTTGTTCAGAAAGCTCCAGGGATGGAAGAGATAAGCCAGATCTTCAGATGAAATTTTATTGTGACAGGCATAAACTAGCCCGTGTAATTTTTTTAACCTATAGTATTATCCTGCACATAAGGTGGAACTAATGCAATGATTTGTGCTCAGGCAGCCTCTCAGTGAATTCTTAATTATACTGTCCATTACAATACACAGACAGAGTGATTTGTGGTACACAGAAATTACAGGTTTATGCAGTGTCTTAAAGAATTTTATGAAAGAAATATTTTTAGAAAGGATGTGCTCCCTTTAAATATGTTCTTTTTGTTCTAAAGGCATTTACTTTTTTTTCCCTAGTCTGGCCTTGAACTGAGCATAGAGAAGTGTGTGGCTGAAGGTGACATTGCCAAGGCTGAGGAGCTGAGTGACAGATTGGCCATTCGTGAGGTAAGTGGGCTGTTAACAGAAACTCTGAGGGGTCATGCAGTTTTGCACGTCTGGACTGAAAGTCCAGAGTAGAACAGCATTGAAGGTGGTTTGTACAACCTCTTTCCTGTTTCCTGAGCAGATTCAGTCAGTGATTTCAGGACTTTGCTGCTGAGCTGGCAATGCTTGGACAGCTGTAGCTGTGTTTAAGAATTGAAAATACATCCATGAACTGTCCCAAGTTCTTGCTTTAGAGCCTTGCTGCTCACTCCACAACTCAGAGGAGTTGGTATCTGGTCATCTGTGTTGAGCTTTTGTTTTTTCTCTATGTTGCAAGCCAGGAGGACAGGAGTAGGATGTTCCCTTCCTCTCAGTTCCCTGTGCCTCATATTTTTTTGTTGCATTACCTCTCCCATAATCATGGGAAGCCTGAAGACAGGTAGAGATTTAGCAAGCCTAGAGCAAATAAGGACATATGAGCCCCAATACTTGTTATTCTGTGTGTTTATGTGGTCAGGAGTTGATGGCTGGAAGAATTCTGAAGAAGAATGGGAGTAGATGGTTGTCTCTCTGTACTGCTGCTGTAGCCTTAGAATTGTGATGGATATTTTTTCTCCTTGTCATAATTGTTCAGTGTATAAATACATACCTAAAACCAAGTGCAAAGTAACACAATTTTTTCAAGATGTTGTCTTGATAGTTGGTGTAGTTGAACAATTCCATGAAAGCTGTGCTCTCTTTGCCACAAAAGTGGGAGAGAAAAAATCTGTATGTAGAGGTCTTAGTGAATACTTAAAACTGGTGAGGAATCTATCAGATAGCTCTGGGAACTTCATCTAAGAAATTGTTCAATATGTGCACATAGAGTAGGTGGTAGCAGTTGAAGTAAAAATAGCTGAAGTCCACAAAGGCTGTTTTCCCCACTGCTAGTTGTGCATAGGGGGGAAAATGCAGAGGAAAAAATTAGGTTAATAAAATAGTTTAACAGTTTTGAAGCCAGGTAAGAAAAAAAAATACCATTTCAGTGAGTGGAAAAGTGATCTTTTTAAAGTCATCTGAGTAGTATGATTTAAACTACAAATCTTCTAGATGTATACTAAAAAAATAACTATATAATGTTTTGCTTTCATTCCTTTATCTTGAATATTCTTCCATCTTCACAGAGGTAATGGCAATTTTCTGTCCACTGTATATGCTTGCAAAATTGAAAGGTATTAGAAAAGGATTAGGAAAGCAAAGACAAATTTTAGCTCCTTCTCATTCTCATACAAATATCTTAAATGTTTCTTAAATACAGTGTTTTAAACTAAGCTTTAATGTAAAATTGCAGATTTAAATCTGTTTCAGGCAATGTTTACAATATTGTGATGACTTTAAAAACAGACAGCTTTTGAAGTGGGAAATGCAGTTCTTATGGTTCTCTGAGGTTAGGTAAAAGTAACTGTTCCTCAGTGAGCGTTCTTACAAAATCATTAAACTCCTCCATTTAGTCACTCAGGGCAGTTTCTAATGACTAGACTCTTATCTTCCTTGTCACCAGTGATCACAAAACTTCAGTCTGCAAAGATAACAGCTATTGACAGTGGTAGGAATGTGCCCTGATGTTCTCTTTAAGTCTGACCAGCTTCTGACTGTTTTATTACCTTTCATGTGTTCAACACGAAAAACACTTGCTGTTCTCCTTCACAAATGTCATTATCCCATCTCCTCTAAAGTGGTTGGAGTATTATAATCAATAAAACATACTGAGGTTCTAGTGCAAATTGTTTGACTATAAAAACAAATTAATGTAAGAAGTTTTAAGGTTTTGTAATATTTATGATAAACTGTTATCTGATTTTGGTAGCCATGGGATTATACAACATCTAGCATATCCCAGGTGCTCCAGCAGTGTATTATTATTTGTGGAACATTAGCTCCAAATTGTTGACTTTCAAATATTAGCATGTTGTAATTCTGAAAACAAAATGCTTGAAACATTATTAGTATTCACAGCCTTGACTTGGTTTTGGTTAAGTGGGTTTATCTGAACAAATAATATGTTGAAAGAAGGGAAACTCAAATGACTGGCTTGATCTCTCATGAGGAGTTTTGTCGAGGCAGAATCCATGTGAATTCACTGGGGTTCTCTGCTCTTGTAGAGATGTGCTCCATTGCTCACTGCAAGGTTCATTTTTCTTTGTGATTTTCAGAAGCTTTTCTTTTTAATGGATCTTTTAAAATACTTTTTTTTTTTCCTAAGGAAATTCTTCTAACAGTAACTGTTTCAGTGAAGAGCTATAAAAAGAGGATTTGATTATGGAAGAGGCTGATTGAACGGTCATTGTTTTGTACACAAGTACACTTAATAAAATATTGCTTTGATGTTGTATTCATTCAATTGCTACTTTTCTTCTCTTAGCAGTTTACAGAAATGTCGATTTTAATATACAATGCCTCTAAGAAGTGAGTTAATTTAAAATTATGTGGCTATTTGTATCCCTGTAACTTCCAAATGCAGCCCAGCTCTGTGAGCAAGTCAGGCATGGAACTGCACTGTGGCTGTATTGAAGTACACCACTTCTGAAGTCTGGAGTAATAAGTGGATGAATTATTGTTCTTTTATCTCAACTTCATCTCTTTATGTATAGTTTTCATTTTTCTTGAGCAGTGTCACAGGGCTGGGGACAGAGAGTGTGTGAGAAAGAGCTGTGTGGTGTTTGGGGTGCAGCCCCCCTTGCAGCCATGTGAGAAATGTTCAGTGGGTAGGTGTTCTTTTTGAAATCAGGTGTATGGGGTTTTAATCGGCACCATTTTCTTTTGCAAGAAGCAGTGACTGGAACCTGCTGATAAAGCTTTTGCTTTGAGGCACAGATCCCAGAGTTCTTACAGCCGTTTCCTGCCTTAATAAGTGAAACTAATTTTTGATGTATAACATTTATAAGCCTGTGAAACTGATAGGGCAGCTTCAGTATTTAGAAAAATGAAGCCAAAAATAAACAGATGATGAGTATAGACGGTAGAAACATGTCCTAAAAAGCAAAGGAATGTCAAAATGATGCTGTCAATATCCTGTCATTGTGACACAGTGAGAAAAGGTTTTTTAAAATCAGATTCATTTAAAATCAGTGATGACTTAGGCAATATGCATAATCTAGCAGCTGTCAGTGCATCATGGAATTTTGCATTCTAAAAACCTAAATGATACTGCTTTAAGGTTTTGGGCCTTCAGGTTTCCAGGTGGTACTTGTTGCAGGTTCTTTAAGGAAAATGTTACTGCACTGCATTAAATGATCCTTTGGGCAATATATTATTTGTTGTTTTCTTTGCTTTGACAAATATACACAACTGCTGATTTTAAAACAAAGCTTCTCAGTCCAAGAGTATTCAGGGTTTTGGAGTGAGAGTTAGAACTTGAACACCTCCTGCATGAGGCCGTATTTACTGGTGGCTGCATGGGTGGATTCATATGTAGCTTTTGAGACTGGCTGGTGTGTTCCCCCTTTTTTGTTGGCAGTTGCATTTCTATTATAAAAATGAGCTGTATGTATTACATTGCTGAATATTTTGTCTAATCTCTGGGCAAACCTCACTGCCAAGTGTTACCCCTTGTCTCCTGCTGTCAGTCATCAGAGTAGCAGATCTCTACCTGTGGCATCCCTGGCCATCCCCACAGCACATTCTCTTGTGGGGTGTTCAGCTTCTCTGAGAGGTCTGGTGATCCTCAAGTTCTTGAATTCATTATTTTATACACAAGTGAAGATTTTCCTGAAAAAAATATGGGCATCACCTGCATTATGTGGTAGAGAATAATTTAGGCCTTCAGTAACTCTGCTCCTTCAGCTTCTGACTGGAGCACCTCAGTGCTGTGATGAAATTATGGTGTCCAAGATCAACATTGCTTTGATAAATGTGATGAGCAGCAAAATAATGCAGTGGGTCATACTCCTTAATTCACTGTAGAGCTTCAAGCTCAGTTAGATTACTGATTTCTTTAATACCTGCAGTACAGTACTGTTAGCATTAAAATAAATTAGCCATTCATTGCAGTGTGCATGGTACAATATGCACTGCTAGTGTTTATTACTGTAATCCAGTTGCTGTCTTTGTTATCACATTCCAGGGCTTCCAGCATGGGCAGAGTCCTTCATGTTTTACAGTTGTGCTGTTCAGATGTAGCCTGGCATACCTAAAGCTGTTCTTTGAACATTGCATTTAAGGATGACTTATTTAACTTGAGTGATGCCAATAGAAATGTTAATGTAGAAGTTACCAAAAAGAAAAAAAATCTGAGCCTTTTAGAATGAAAGTTATTAAGAGAATAAAGTTCATGTGAACACTTATCTGGGCTGAAATGACAAGATTTTTTTGGTGAAGCCTTAGGGTAGGATAGCTGAGATGTAATAGTAGCAGATACTTGGGATATGGAGCTGGGAACAGACACTTGGAATTATGTCAACTTCTTAATGCTTTGTAAAATTTTTTCTGGAATTCTGTCTTGAGATGTAATTAAATTGTTTCTACTGTGTTAGTGGGAATCCACCTAGATTTCTTTAAAGAATAAATGTTGATAAATTAGAGCACTGTGACTGTGCATAGCTGGATGTATTTATCCCTTTGAGTAAGGATGGTATGTGCAGATACCTGCTAATTTCACTCTGCTATGAATCAGTTTCAATCTGGAGTGATACTTGTAAAAATTATTTTCATAGGTATACAAAAAAATCTTAAAAGATTCCCCACCACCACTCCTTACATATATATTTTTCCCCCTAGAGAGCAACATTTTTTTCATAGTGTTTTTGTGCTCAAATCATAGTTTGGTTGTATTCTGCAAAATGCAGAATACAGATTTCTTATGGCTCTAATACTGTGAGAACTAATTGACTAAAGCCCAAACTTTGCCCATATTGGTGGGTTTTTTATGTACCTGGTAGGCAGGTGCCACATTGTCTAAGAACACATTAGCCTCAGGACTGTAACTTGAACACAGTTATATCATCTTGACCATATTAGACTTACCTGTCAAAAGTAACTTCTAA